TAAGTAGCAGCTTCAATGGTGACATGTTCAATGTTTCTCTACATTGATGATACAAGTTGCCAGGAGATGAGACTGGTCACACTCAGATTTAGTAGTAGCCTAGGACATGTACTTAATTCACTGGCCAGTTTCTGATACCAACATATAGTCCACTGTCGTTAGCTATCCAACCTACTATAAAGTGCAATACATTGCTTCAAATAGCACTTTCCTCCACTGGAATTCTTGTTGGAGCCTTTGAGGGTACTTCACCAATGTACCTTGTTACCTTCCGACTCGGGATGCGTGTTAGAGAGTCACATCAATCCTGAAACACCACCACTCCTACAATTCCATGCCGAGTGTATACAAGCTATGACCGGACTACATGGTATTTCTAGATCTTCAACAACGAAGCAGAGTTGTCACTAGTACTTATACCATAGGCAGACCTTGGTAATATATAGTATTGCATAATTCATACAGAGAAGGGTGCTAATTACACATATACTGTACCAGACTATGTATATAGGCTCTCTCCATACTCTCTGACCTAATATAAGTGTACTTAGAGAGCTCATAGAAGTCAACAAGCATTAGCACAGGAGGAACTCGATATTTAGAGGTGGATGTCACTCTCTTCCATCACGCGGTGCCAGGACCCCGAGTGCAAGCCCGCATTGCTGTGCTCGATTTCCTAAAGTCGACCTGGTCCTGCTCGGCAACGGTAAGCGGTACCATAAAAGGCAAGTATTCACACGATACCGACGGTTCCGCAATGGAACATGCTAAGAAACGACTCTTATAAGTTATATGGCAGGCAGTGAGTCCTCGGTCTTCCCTTTGGATATCCCCGCATGACGGGAGGAAGAGGAGTAACAAAAGGGTGAGTGGGCCGGCCCGCTTCCCTAGACACCGTCCTTTCGAGATTCAGCCAAGTCCCTTTCGAAGACTAATACGTAGGTCGTCTGTAAATTGGCAATCCAAGGCACTCCGGTTTATACGAACAACGACACCGTTCCATGCCGGGAACTTAAGAGGGTCAGATGATGAGAGTGGCGGTGGACGGCATCGCACACATGGCTGCCCCCCGTGATGTCGGGCACGTCCAGAAAACGGCAAGTCCATTGAGAGCACAACACAATACAACATACAACTCCTGTCACAGCATCAAGCCGCAATTTGCACGGGACCTCCTGGTACATGTGTGAAGCTTTGAAAGTGTCATGCCTCACGGTTTACCGACGCTGACCCAGCTATCCCTCTTCTCCGAGGACCTACGATGAATGTACGGAATGAATACATGTATGAAGCCGCCCGTCGGACACCAACGAGACTCACTCCTCTGGAAGAGCAGATTCTCCGGATCCGATCACCAGCTTGACAGTCTTGACTTCGAAGCCATGGAAGTCCAAATTGATGGAAGCGCCCTGCGCAATATCACTCTCAGCGCGAAGGACGTTCAGTTCATCACCCGTGTCTTCGAGGAGGTTAGTGACATAGGCAGCCGCGACGTTCACGAAGCCAGCGACTCTGAGTTTCACTTTCGCGTGCCCGCCGAAGGCTTCATAGAGTCGCAGCACGATCGTCTTGGTAATATCAGTGGAAGAGAAGTCGTCATCGTCGCCGCGCTTGATCGTTTCAAGGTAGACATTTCGAGCCCCTTCGATCGTGAATGGCTTCCTCATCTTCTCGAGCAGGTTCCTGCTCTCCCGCGGCACGTATCGCACTGGTGGCCCGCGGTAAGTAGAAGAGACGGGAGAAAGAACTACCGGACACACCGTGAAGAGGCGAATTAAAGAGGTAGCCGGCTAGCGGGACGTCGGACTCCAGGAAGTGTCCTGCGTGAGGGAGAACAGCCCAAGAGAACTCGTGTTTCCCTGGAAGGCATAAATATTAGCTGTCAAACTCATGGTGGTATATTCATACCTTGGTCTTGCTCCGCATCCGGCGCTGTCGCTCCCCGCAGAAGAGAAATGCGCAAAACGTTACCCAAGCAAGAGAAGCCGTACTTGGATTCAGACAGCAGCGCGACACCGTATCCGAATTCGCTCAAGTCCGCGTACTGCAGGATACAATAAGCCGTGATGACGAGGGTGGGACCTCAGGTAGAACCTACCTTATGCCCGCACACCTCGAACTTAGCGGAATCCCAGCTTGTGTTCTTGTGCGTGGGTCTTTGGACATAACCCCACTGAGTCTCATAAATGGCGTTCTCGTTGTGGATGTCCAGTGGCACCTCGACTGGCGCAGGAGTTAGCCTTGGGGACGCAGTGGTCCGCATCGATGTACTTACACTTCAAAAATTCATGTCTCTGGTGCCAGTCGACGACTGCATCAAAAGTGAACATTGAACGAGAACCAGGTCTCGTAGTTGCTGCTACGGCATCCAGAGAGATCTAGGATGCAAGTTAGTACCGCTCACTCTCAGTTCATCGGTACGGGGCCGCACCGTGACATTGATAGTGCTCTGTCCATACTTGAACTCTGATGTAATGGACGCACGCAAAGGCCCCTCCGCGGTAACCGAGATGTTCGCAAACTCCAATGGGCGCCTCTTCTCCAGATGATGGATTTCGACGTCTATGTATTGATATTTAGGTTTATACATAATTTCCGGTGAATCGTACATACCCCATGCGTCCCAGTAGTTGGGACGATCTTCGAAGATGACGAGACCGCCACTCTCGCCTTTCGCGATGAGCTCTCGGCTACCATAGTCGCACTATGAGCTTGCATTACTCCGGACAATGACTTAGACTTACTTAAGCTGTACATCCAGAAGGCTGGTAATCCGTCCGCCTGAGATTGTAAGTTGGACACTCGAGTTTTTCAAGACAAAGTGGCCAGAGCCATTCGTGTAGACTTGATAGGAGATTAGCTATACCAGAGTCTGAATGGTAACAACATTACCTGATACCGGCATACTATCCGCATAAAGTCCCTTGCAAAGCGCGATATTGCTATCCGCCAAACATTCCATGAGAGCGTAGCCGGTGCCATCCTTAGACGTCTGCACGACCTGTGACTTAAACTGGGAACCGGCTCCAGTGAGTGGTACTTTGACAACGTCCTGGCGAGCGAAGAAGGTAGTATTAACAGCAACTAGGTCACCCTGGCCGCGCAGTTTGGCTAGATTATCGGAGGTCGCAGGAGCTGAGCGAGGTAAGATCGCCTCGAAGGCCTCTTCAAGGAGCGCCTTTCCGTCTTTGCGCACTTCTGCATAAAGCTTTTCGGCATCTTCGTAGACCATACCACTACATAAGCCCGTAAGATCTGCTCTTGAACGGCACTCTAGAACACTTACATCGCTGAACCGGGAAGCACTGAGAAACAACAGAGTTACAGGGATGTACGTGACAGTGGCAATCACACGTACCGTCGTGGACTAAATAACAGAAGAAGTTAATTGTTACAAGGACAATGAGTCAGGACACATAAACATACATTGATTCAGCAGGACCTTCTCCCAGCAGACATCAATCTTGTCCTTCGGATAGGTATATTCCTTGACAGCGAACGCCGGGAAGGATGCCAGCGTAGCCACGTGCTACGAGAATGGTTGGAGGAGTGGGACAGTGAGCCCACGAAAGGGGGGCGCTCACCTCAATGTCTCGCAACAAAATCTCCGACTTTCTGTTTCCCTTCTTAATTGACCCTGCGATAAGGAGTCAGATTGGATACTATGTATCACACTAACGACTTACCATGGGACGTATAAGTGCCTCGGTGAAACTATGCGAGTCAGATAGAGCATTTGCGAAGATGACGACGAATTAATATCTACCTCAAGGTATAGTTCGCCATGCCTGACCATCGGCATCAGTACATAGTCCTCGGATTCAAAGATGCGGATTTACCAGTTAGGCAGCGTTTTGCCTTGGTTGGACCGTTCCGCTACGTCGTCGAAGAAGTCCTCCACAGAGCGGCCCATCACAACTGGTGGAAGTTCGCGATGGTTGTTGGTGGTAGCCCGGATTCGCCGAAGCTAATACGATACTAAGCACCCACAAGGTCCAGGACAGCTCGAATACTCACGTTGTCCAACATCTTTGACAGCGGTCCTCCTCCACCGTCACCGTTTCCGAATACTAGCAGTGCAGTGTCGTTCGATTCCAAATTCTGCAAAACTATCAGGCATTCGTAGGGAGAAATAGTCTTGGCGACTATACCTTATGGTTTGTTATGGCTTTGTTCACATCGCCGACAGTTGCCTGGGCCGTGTATGTATCTACACGCACATCGAAACGTGAATAGTATCATCATAAGGCGACGATCCTACTCACCAACTGGAGTCATATGGCACAGGACTTGGGTGCCGTCAATACCAACCCAGTTAAACGTAGAATGAGGGAATGTATTGCTAAACAAGACTAAGCATCTCCTTCAGAGATTGCCAAGAGGGACATACATATTATTCCTGCAATGATATGATCAATTCTTCTCTCCCAAGTGGGTATTATCGCATGTCGAAGACATACCAAGACAACTTCTGCGTAAAGAAGTACTTCATACCCGCCAATCTGATGAGCTGGGGCAACGCTCCAGTCAGACCGAAAGAGTCGGGCAACCATGCTGTGTCGCATCGCTTGCCAAAACGGCTCTCGAAGTACCGCTGCCCGAAGACGAACTGCCTGGCAAGGGCCTCGCCCGAGGGCATGTTGGAGTCGTTTTCGACCCAAGAGCCCCCGACAGGATGGAACTGTCCAGACAGCACTTTCTCCTTCACACGGTCGAAGAGAGGAGGATAGAGCTGAGGAATGTTTATATTCGCGTCTGGCTGAACATCTCGAGTGAGAGCCCACGCACCTGCTCCAGCCACTTGTACTGCTGCGCTTGGCTGCAGGTGAACCGATGCTCCGGGTAGCGCTCCATCAAGTCTACTTGTGTGGACCAAGAGCGAGCTACTTTCTGCTGGGTGACGCGATAGGGCCACAACCTTTGCAAGGGTCAGCTCGAGTCTCCAGGGAAAAGATAAAGACAGCCGAACCAGGCAGTGTCGATATGACAGTGTCCAATTCCCCACACGAGCGGCCTCTCTGGCCCTTCTTCATATATCTTCTCGCCTTTCTTGTCCCACCGTTCGCCGAATACCTTCTCCGCGGCCTTCCGCCCCTCCTCGACGGTGTTGGGCTCACCCTTATCGAAGATATTCATGATCTCGTTGGCAACTGTCAGCGCCTGGTTCTGCAGAGGCGTGTTGCCGGGCACGGTGTCCACAATTTCCCGCAGGGTAGTGAAATCCGCCATCAATCGCCATGCTTCTTCGTTGGGTACGACCAAGTCGGCAGACGCGAGCTGGAAGTAGCGGTTCATCTGCAAGGGGACGTGAACGATCGCACTCTCTGTAGTATAGCAGTGAACCATACGTCGGGAGGGGCGATGGTGTCTCCGTTCCATGGCACACCAAACATGCCGTTGCAGCTGGACTCTATGATAAAGTCGAGCTTGCCCTTCTTGACAGTGTCCCTAGGGATGATGTAGTCGACGCGACGATCCCCGCCAAACCCTCCCGTAATCCCTGACGAGGGATTGGCACCCGTATAATAAATTCACGTCGTCAGCTTACCTTGAAGGGGCACACCATCCGTGGTGTATATCATGGCTTCGCAGCCAGGATCGAACTCGACTTATCCGTTCATTAGCGTGATCATAGTATCACAAAAGGAGGTGTTCATACACTGTACACGCTCATACTGCACCCAATACGACGGGATGTTCACGGAGACCTTCCACCAGTGGTTGGTCCCTTCATGCCCATCAGCAGTCGCCTCGGCCTTCCCAAGCGCTTCCACGACTTACAGGACGGCCCAAAAGAATCCCCCTTCTTCGCGGGCTTGAATTTCTGCTTCATTGCTTCCTCGAAAGTCGGCTTGGTCAGCCCCGGCGCACTCCATACCTGCAGCTTCACATGGTTATCATCGTCCAGACGATGAGTAAAGAGGATCGAGGTCAGGTTAACGTCGGCGAAGTGTCCGCCGGTGAAGGTACCCAGTCGGTTCTGCGTCAAATGTTTTATCCATTTGGCACCAGGCCCATAGTTCTGCTCTGGGTATCCCCCTTGCTGTTGCGCATGGTGGGCGTGGCAAGCCATAATGGTTGCGAACGTCGGCGGCGGGAAAGATACGCGTCAAGCCCGACCTCAACCCCGCAGCCGGCGTCGATTGCCACAGCGGCCATCACTTGACCTTAGTACCTCATATTACATTTCTTTCAGCAGCTTATATTAGAGCTCGATGAATGGAACAGCAGATGGATTATACTCTCGATTTCCACGTTCGACGGCTCTATTACTTACAGCACAGCGTGGCAATAGAGAGACGTTTGGCATCGCTCTCAGTGAACTGAGAAGCTTGCCGGGCGTCGCATACTAGTACGTGCCAGGCCTGTTGGCGAATTCCAAGGACAATAAATGGCTCAGATTCTTACACTTTGTCGATTCGAGCGTCTGAATCCCTCTTCATGGAAATTTCAATGTCCTTTCGAGCGATCACGAGGATGCCTCCATGCACGAGGTATACGGGTCTACTCTGGAGTTCCTTCTGAACGTAAATACAAAGGTGTGACATACACCAGAGTTACCACAGAGCCACAAGGATAATGTCTCAACCAGCGGAGGACGACTACGACCGCTCGATATGCGTCACATGTGGGACGCAGTATGCTTCCCCGGGCAGACGTCCCTATCCCATACGGGATGAGAAATCCGGGGATGGATGCGCGATATGCCTCGACGAAAGACAGTATGTACCAACGACCGGACAGAAGTGGACAAGCTGGCGCAAGATCGACGAAGACCACAAGACGGTGCTCATGCCAGAAGAGAGGGACAGGAGGATCGTGCGCATCGTCACCGAGCCCAGCTTCGGGATAGGGCAGACTCGTAAGCGCATGATATACAACACACTCCGACATAATAACTTGGACTGTAGCGTTCATAGTAAACACTCACCGTGGCTATGTAATCTGGGACTGTCAGGCCTACCTCTCCCCGTCCGCGGTCTCTCAGATTAGCGCGTCCACAGCGGACAAGCCACTCCTCGGGATTGCCATCTCGCACCCGCATTTCTTTGGCAGTTCCGTGACGTGGGCGCGGATGCTCGGGTGCAAAGTGTTTGTTTCGGCCAAAGACAAAGAATGGTTTATGCGCGATGACGACCATGTGGGGAAGGTAGTCGAGTTCTGGGACGGGGAGCACAAAGTGATATCTGAAGGATTGACTGTGATACGTTGCGGAGGTAAGTATGGGGACTGTGCGAGCCCGTTTTGCTGGCAAACGACCGAATGCAGGCCACTTCCCGGGATCGAGCGTCTTGCACTGGGACCGCTCTCTTGACCCAACGGAAGCGGACCTCCCGACCACCGGCGTGGTCTTCTGCTCGGACACTTTTGGTGTGGCCGCAGATCACAGGAAGATGTCGTTCATGTACTCATACCCGAACATGGCAAGTGCGGGAGATCTTTGAAACTGCTGCGTCTTCCTGAGTGACATACGTAGATTCCTCTTCCTCCAAAAGATATTCAAGCACTCTGGAACGCGTTGCGCCCGTTCGCTTTCGAAGACATATACGGCGCCTGGCCCGGAAATTTGTCGTACGGCAACGGAAGGGCCAATGTCCTCAAGAGCGCCCGACGGTTCATCGAGATGGAGGGCTGGAAGAAAGGCGATTGGGTCCTCGAAGACTGATCCATGAGACTGGTAGCAATTTTGCTTGTCGCGCTTGATTGTTACTGACTGATAATCTGGCTCCAAAGTCAATCAGGTGAAGGCTGTAGCCATAGTTGTACCACACTTCAACCGTTGTAGCGAGTCTACTCGTGTATGGAATATGCGGACCACAACCCAATGTCGCGCATCTCAGTTTATGGATTGGCCACGATTTTCTAATGTGAGTACAATTGTCGACGTGTCGTGCGTTTCCACTGATATGTACTAAATACCCTCTTTCGAGCCTGAACACGGGAATGTTTCAGACCGCCTACTTGATTATACAGTGGCATACTGAGTGAGGTATATGGCTTGACAGCACGAGAGTCAGTGACACTGCACCTAGTGCCTGGGGTTGAACCGGCGGGGCTCACCTGAAAAGGCGCCCTCCATGTTCTGCCACCATTCAACGTGACAGGATGGGGATTTGGGTGCGCATGCAAGCTCGAAGGAATGCACGGAGTCCTGTGGGCAATGAAAATGGTGGTTAAACGAAGTCCCCATCATGACATCGGCACTTGCGACCTTGCTGGATCTCGGCGGTCGCGTGGAATACGATAGCCTCTTCGCGTCAATTGCCGTGTTTGCGGAAAGCCGCCAGATATCGATAGTATGTGCGGATTCATCGTTTGCTAGCGTGAAATTGGAGCCTTCTCTCGTGATTGGGACCACCATTGACAGTTCGCAGTCTTCCATCCCGAAGTCAAGAGCTCTGAACTGCACGATGGTGGAAATCTACTCCAGGTGAATTGCATGCAAATTTCATCATTGCACTGCGTACCTGAGCTGAGACAGACACCTGGCGATCTTCAGGAGATATGTATCCTCGGAACGTCATGTGTCTTTTCGGATCGTCACTATACACATAACTCGGCCTCCCGGAATCGATCTGAGTCAACAGGAAGGGGTAGTTGACGAACTGCCTGCTGATCGGAGGCGCAGCTCGCTCAATCTTGTCCAATCCCATAAACTGATTCGGCCTCGGAAGTGTTGTGGCGGAATCTCTTGAAATAAACGCGGTCCGGCGCGGCTGGTCGCTTATGAACAATGCGAGGTTGGCGATGGTACAAGCGACGACAAGGAGGATAATAGGTATTGATAATGAGCGATCGTTGCCTAAAGGCGTATCGTCAGCCTGCGGTAATATTCTCAGTCGTATAAGTACTCACTGCGACTCGTCAGGTTGGATGGTACCGGCGTCTCTTCATCTTCGGCAGGAAGGGATTGATATTCGATGTTGGTCAACTGAATGGACATTTCAGTCTCGCGAAGTTAGGTAGTGCACAAGGTGACAGTAAGCAACCCTTCCCAGTTCCCACTAAGTCCAAGACTTCATGATAATGATACCTCGATCGCCTGGCACTCGGACGGGTCGTGACGGGGATAGGCTATGCTAATGCTGTTGTAGGTGTGCCTGCCGTGTCATACTAAGACAGATGGATGGGTACAGAAGAGTCTTACATCTGATTGTCCTTTACCTATCGCATAGGAGTCTGCGCCATTTATAACGCCTATCACAGGGACACCCGCAGGATGGATGCATCAATCCCACGCCCGGTTCGGGGTTGACTTTGATTGCAGCATGTACTTAGCTTCCGGCCCAGAATTTTTCCTGAAGCATCTTCAGTGCGGATACATTTGTGCTGGTACGCGTATAACCGTTCTTAAGTCCAAGATGTTGCTGACTCTGCCGGTGAACTGTCCCCATAGTCGACGGTCGCAGTGGTGAGATAGCGATTGGTTTGATCAAGCGTCATGGCGCTGCGTTTCTGAATATAGTCCTGATAAATCGGCATTTTGAATTACCGGGCGAGTATTCTCATGTCGTCGCCCACATCAAGTGAAGACAATGCCTCCATCATATTGACCATGCAATCGTCCAGCGACACCATGAAGAATAACTTCTTGCGCAACTACTCGCATACAAGCCTGGCACTCTTGGCTATTTGTCTCCTGTTATGGTCTGCCTTGCTCATAACCTTTGGGTGGGACAACACCCAAAGCGATGGTATGCACTAAGCGCGACTTCGATCCCCTAATACTCATGATTACCTAGTGCAACTTTCTTGGAAAAGACGCACGAAGAAGCACGTAGTCATGCGCATCTCAAATACGGTTCACTATAGCCTTAACGTATCCGAGGGTGCCCAAGAATTTTCGAGGCTCTTGCCGCCAAGTGGACACCTAATTCACCTGGACGACGCTAATGCACACGGAACAACCAAGAATTACACCGTCACGCTTTTTCATCAGCTCCGTTGCCTCGATATCATCAGGCGGGAATATGTCAGAACGAGTGACATCTCCCGTACGCCCTCGACTCTCACTCACCACTGCATGAACTACCTTCGGCAGACGATTTTATGTCACCCGAATCTCCGACTGGAGTCTGCCAGGTACCCGATGGGTCCCAAGTCGACCACGACTCAGATATATGATGCAGTGTGTAATGACTGGCGCGAGGTGTATGCGGATGCGAAGAGGAATCATAAGTTGTACGGTGATAGACGTGCTCCGGATAATACTAGTTGATTGCATCTCAAGGCCGACGCTGCGATATACTCTGTGCTGCCACATCTCATGGCAGGCTACACGGATTGAGGATAGTGCAAAGATTCATCTCGTTAGTCTCTAGCTGCGCACATAGCGTGCTAGTCGAAAGCCAACACCTCCATCATTCGCGTCATCTCATGCACGCTGCGTCTCTCCTCTGCTACAGCGTCCAGATGCTCTAGAACGTGCGATGGGAGGAACCCGACCATTGCCTTCGTGGCCAAGTGCGGGAGAAGTCGGTCAGTGCTTGAGCGAAGATCTGAGGATGTCGCACTGCGAAGGATTAGCGTTCTCAATGAATGGTCTGCCTCCATGATTTCCTTCAAGTTGAGCTTCGCCGGTACGTGCGGTGAGAAGATCAGGGCTGTGAACAGCGAATGCCACAAGACTTTGAAGGGTTATCCCTATGCCTGCCGGTGGCAGGTTCAATCGCAGTTCCCGCAGTTTAGGCCAGGGTAGTATCATTCGTTTGACATCGACATCGTCTATCAGATACGGCGAGCACTCCATTCTGGCGAAAAAGGGGGATATATAGAATTCCTGGAGGCAGCGGCGGGGCACGAGAAGCGGACCAATGGCCGTGAATATCCTGGTCCCGTTAGGAGACCCAGAATCACGCACGTCTTCAAAATCCAGCCTCAGCGTTGTGAGAGTGGCCGCAAATTTTGTCAAGGATTGGCAGAGTTTGCAGGTATCTTCCGCCTGCAGGGTCTCATCGATTTCTGTCAGATAGCAGTACTTTAGACGGCATAGTATTCTCCGCGTGAAAGGTCTCTAGCATAGGCAATATGGAGAAGTCACCCTCGATCGTTTTGACTTCTTCGACATACGCTGTAACACCGAATGTTTTGACTTGAGTGAGCGGCGTCAAGGGTCGCAAGAGCGGTGCCTTCACCCATCCTGCTTTGTCCATGTGGAGGTCGCTAAGGTCCAGCTCCTCAAGGGTTACGAGGTGACCGATGAAGTCCAAGGGGAATTCGGGCAAGTTTCCATTCAAACGGAACGTTTTGAGATTGGGCACTTTCTCAGGAAGGTCAGCAAACCATTTGCCGAGAATGTCCCCCTGACCAGTGCCTAAGTCCCGGACACAAAGGGAGTCCGAGCTCTCGACCTTAAGAGAGGTCACTTGAAGGGAAGGTGCGACGAAAGCAGAGCACTGAGCCCGGGCACGGATCTATCCTGCGGTCTTCATTTTTGTTGGTCCATTCAAGCCTTGTCAAGTTGGGTGTCATTGGCCCGCCTCTCTCCAGTAGTAGCCTGATAATCGTCCCATAAGGGTCAGAGTCGTATCCGCCCGGACATTCATGAGAGTTTCGCTCCACTCTTCCTCTAAGAGTCGTCTTTCGCAGGTCTGCATTCTTCAGAGTTGCCTTCTACGGATCCGCCTTCTTCAGAGCTATCTTGAACGGACCCGCCTTCGCCATCTTCGTCTCTACAGATCCACCGTCTTCGGGATCATCTTGTCTGTCTTCTCCAGAGTCGTCTGCCTCCGAAGTATCTCCGTTCGGAGTCGGTTCGTCCAGAGCTGTCCTCATCGGAGTCGGGTGGCCTGCGTCAGAGCCACCTTCGTTTCTGTAGATGACTTTCACTTCGCGTATGCGATTGGCACAGATTTCGAATCTGTCTAGTCTTCCATAAGTTCTGGGTTATCGGAATTCTTCACATGGACGTAAAAGTGCGCATCAGCACTCCTATGACTGGATAACGATGGAATATGTGGGTATGCCACCTACGCGTTGCATCAGCCGACAGACGCGTCATTCGCAGAGCCTGGGGACATAGTACCAGCCGTCGCAAGTGGGAGTTGACATAGAAGAGGCCTACGAAGCCTGGTCGACTCTATTTGTTGCGAGCGAAGCGAGCAGTTCTTCACTAGGGCTGAGATCCGCGACAAAGAAGTACAGATTCTACTCACTGTGGCGAAGGGACCCACAAAGACCGAGCGCCAGCTCTAAGTTCCTACAGCCCCTTTACCATCCTCAGATTGAACTGGGAAAGGATCCATAATTGCTCGGCCATGTTTATTCATCCTGTGCAGTACTAAAAATGCAGTGAAGTGAGCCCTATAATGCGAACCTCGCCGTGCCACGTCACGCTTCGTGAGCAACTCGGCGCAAGTGCGCATCACTAGTATTGCTAGACGCTCGAAAGCTCCTCGGAGGCTGCGCCTCTCGTACATCAAAATCATTTATCGAGAACAATGGCGAAGCGCGGGACAATAGAAAGGGCTGTGATAGGTCAATATCATCGGGAAAATGGTTCTTACTGTGTCCACAAATCAAGGCGGATTTGTCGTAGCCCCTCTTGTTCTGCAACCATCTTTCGTCAGTTATGCGGCGACATTGAATGTAGGCGCGAGGATGCTTTTAGGTGCAGAAAGCTTGCTACTTACACCTCCTGAATTAGAGCTTGCTTGTACTAATCTGAAGGGGGAGGAAAGGCTCGGGCCGGCTGAGGCCTGGCGTCGGCGGCAAATCCCGCGGTGGCTGAAGTGTGGCATCCGTGATGTGGCAACCTCCAGACGCACTCCATCAGCCCCTTGAACAAAGACGAGTCATCGTTGATACAGGCCTGACCAAAGGTGCCAGAGAGGGAGAATTGCGCGCTGAAGACGAAACGAGAGGGCGAATGGGTCGCGTGGTTAGCTTGGCTAAAGTTTATTCGACAAACGTTCTTGCCTGATCTCGACGTCGTCCCTGCGGAATAAGGGGAGAAAACACCTCGCACATGGAGGCTTGTAACCGTTCTAGTATTGAATTTTTCAGGAGGCTCCCATTCACTAATCCCTGAACGTTGAACGTTCAAGAGCGGTCACAGCTGTGGCTCTCGGGTTGAGCCGAGGGCAGTCACAGTGACTGCCTTGCCTAAAAAGAGCATCGCTCCATCAGACGTCCGTGGCTGCGAGCGTCTGTACTCAACGACTTCCGCAACGACGACAACAGCCATGGACTTACAATCACTCAACATGAACACGCTCGCTAGCTCCTTACCGCCATCCAATCTAGCTAATGCTGAGAAGGACCTAATGGACAAGTTTAAAGGTACTGCCGAATCCTCGGAGTGCCTTGAGACCGAGTGAACTGATCATGGTTATTGCATGTAGCTGCTGCACTAAGCATCACGACCTTGTACCGCTCTTCGAGAGCAACCTCGAAGAAGGCCTACAATGCTGGTTACGCTGCGGCCTGCCAGGATCTCTTACTCATGATCCAGCAGGGCGTGTCCGATTCCCAAATGCAGGAGGGACTTGACGGGGAGCCGGGCGCTGGAATGGGGATGACGATCGGGCGTGTAATGGACTGGGTCGAGGCAAGACTTGAAGCTGTCAAGGCAAGAGAAGAGGAGGAGGACGAAGAGGAGGAGCGAAGCCGCCCAGGCGTCCCCGAGGGCAGCCACAGTAACAGGGCTGGTACGAGCGGCAGGGACGCGCTTAGCAGTGGCGTCAATGGCTCGAAATCGACAAGTCGGCCATCCTTCCAACCGAAGGAGCAGGTAAGCGGTTTCTAGTCTCCGTATAAGTCAGTCTAAGTACTAAATCACTGGCATCGTAGACTCGTCTTGCAACGTCCGCCCCATTTGTTCCCGCCACGCCACAAACACCCGGGCACTCAACTCCTGATCTGACATGGCGCGTGGCCTCCTCAGCGACACCCTCGCCGGCATCGTCGCGTATTCGCCTCCCCGAAACTCCCCAGGTAACGCCCGTGCCATTAGGCGCTTCGAACATCAACGCCAAGATCCGCATGCTCTCGCACATGAATAACAAGACCGTATCTACATCTTCGCCGACCGTCACCAGCCTCAGCCCTTCGACCTCGTTCGATTTCGCTTCCGGTGCGCATAGCTTCCGCAGCACACCCGTCCACGATACCGCTCTGCTCTCGCCTTTAGAGATCACGCCTCCGGTGGCCGCGGGCGCAAAGCGAAGGCATGACATGATGATGATGCTCAATAATGCGGGAGAGAATTCCGCGTTGACTGCCGAGGCACAGGATCGTGAAGCGCTCGCCGCAGGCCCTGCTTCGGGAACAAGGAGACGAACTAGGAGCATGCGTGATCGGGAAAGAGATGGAAATGACATGGACGTGGACGACCGCGAGCGGAAGAGAGTGGCGAGGAGGTAGAACGAAGAATGGTTTCCTCGAGCATGTAGGTGCTCCTTGCGATTGTGGGCATATCCTGGAATGTCGTGTCTACAACCACAATTCCACGCGTCGCTCCGTTCCTCGATCTTCGCAATGTAACGTGTATTATACCATTTGCAGGACCTCCCTTCATCCTCTCCTTATTTTATTGGTGCATTTCCAGTAGCAGAAGTAAAGAAGCTGTAGTCTTAACATACACCTACATGTAGTTACTAGTTCAGTCCATGGGCCACATATACTTCAGGTAACCTACGCTGGCCAGTACATGTACAGCCGCATCACTGTTTCCAGCGTGCCAGAACGAACGTTCACCAGGGACCGAACGTTCATGCTGAGACCATCCCGGGCTGATCGCGATCGGGCGACATATGTGCCCTTTGGCCGCACAAGGCGGTTGTGAGAGTCGTTCAAAACATATGCCAATTATTATGAATTACAGATACAATAGTGCAGCATGACGTTGGTTACGGTCTAACATCGATTATGCAGAGTTTGAGCAATTATGCATCCGATTCGTTCACGCAGCAAACGGAGACTTTTCCCTTAGTCTACCACCGATCCGATAAAATATGAACCTTTGGGATGTACCGAGTCGATGTACCGAGTCAGTACAACTCTCAGCGAGGAATATCATGGACTTACGGTAATGGAGCCATCAGTGCAGTCAAGCCCGCGAGCAACGCGGTCGCGCCAACCGTCCCCAGCCTATTATACATTGGCGTTGCGAATAACGGGAAGACGGCCGCGAATGCGGAACGTAGGAAACTGTTGCTAGCCATTGCAGAGGCGGCTATAGGTCGGTACGCGGTCACCAGATACGTGAAAGTCGAAGTGTAGATGAAGTATATGGCGGTGCCGAAGGGGACCGATGCGATGATAGGTACTATCCAGTGAACGTGAGGATATGTCGTGAATGCCAACCAGAACAAGCCTAGCAGAGAAGGGAAACATTCAGCACCCAGGTAAATGAATATGAGCTGTAACCCGTACTTATTGGTGCCAGTACTCCACCAACTTGACCCATTATCAAACGGATCTCTGGCGGAGGGTGGTCTCCATATTCTGCAGCCTTGCGGGCAAAGAGACTAGCGGGAAGTCAGCCTCACCCGAAGGGTCTCCAACCGGAGCACACCCACCTATTCCAGAAGGACTGCGTTGCAAGGGCGTTGAACATACCAATGCCGATTCCTAAGAAGGTCAAGCCGGTGAATTCGGGCGAAAATCCATGGTTATCTTCGAAGATGAAAGGAAAGGCTTGGAATGCGAGGTAGAGGATGCCAAGGATAAGAGCGTTCCTACGGGCCATGAACAGTCAGCGGCATAACGCATCCACATGTTTTACGAGAATTGTTACCATGTATCCAGTAATAAAGCCATGCGATCATAGAGCAGTAGTTCTATAAAAGCCATCAATGAATTCATCTCGCGTCAACGCGGTTCACACATACGAAACGGCTTATAGCAAGAAACCTCAATTGACTTCCACACGCTCACGTCCTTCTTGTCCAAGGGTGCATAGTAATTCTGATCGCCCGTTGATTTTCGCAGCCTACAGGAATTTCCCGCAGTCAGCCTACCTGGAGTACACCTCGTTCGAAACAAATAAAGCACGGACCTAGCTGCTTTACGCTTGGTCAGGACTGGTTCATATGTCTCAGGTACAAGCTGATCGAGAGCTCAGTGATAAGTGAGGCGGTGCAGAAACGCGTGGTACGACTCACAATGTATAATGCGAACGTCTGTACAAATATCCACATGATGAGGACTCTGTATGTCCATCTCCAGTTTACATTCTAGAAGCCAATGTCAGGAATATCGTCGAACTGCTTCGTGATTGGCGCACCTGATTTATGAACCTGGGAGTATGGAAAACCACAGTGAATGGGATATTTTGACAAAAAGGTGAGGGGAAGAAGATATTTACCCGCTCACTAAGGGTCCTAGCACGGGCCCGATGAATGGAGACATCGTGTATACTGCCATTGGGCTGGGCAGAATATAAGTTAGGTGCCCAGTGACTTCACAACTAAATTACAAACGAGTACTTACTTCGCGACTGAACGATTATCGAACAGGTCACTCACGCTTCCGCCGGCCACACTCAAAAAAGCGGATCCACAGAATCCCGTTATGAATCGAAAGACCAAGAACACGGCTGGAGAACGTTAGACCCCAGCACAATATAGCGAGTCGTTGGTGTTCACTTACCGATGTTAGGGGCGAATACGATGGGCCAAGTGAACGCGAAGAACAGAAGATATGAAACGCGATAGACTATGTTCCTTCCATACACTTCGGAAAGTGGTCCAACTAGTAACGGCCCTATCCCAAGCCCCTCAACGAAAAGACTAATGGACAGGATTGTGACCTCGCGAGAGACATGGAACGATTGAGCGATCCCAGTTTCGGAGAAAGAAGCCTGTCCAGGTACAGAATCTTGAGAAGCAGTTCAATAGTAGGTGGAGACATCCGACTTACTATAGAAGATGCACATGTCACGCAAAGTGCGGACGAACTGATGACAAGCACGATCAGCCACTTCTTGCCTATTGCCATATGTTTTGGGGAGTCCGTCTCATCCAGCGCCACACGGTAGGGATCCTCCGACCCGTCTCCCCATGGATCTTGAGTGACCCCTTTTGCTTGATCCCCGCTCGTCGAGTTGCGAGCTGTGGATGCAGCATCTGGTGCGTCATTCTCGATGCCTCTGCGGCTGCCGGACTTCTTCTCGTCGCCCTCGTCCCTGCTGCCTCTGAGCGTTTCCGGCGGCGTTCTAGACATCAGCTTCTCAGCGGAGATTGGCTGAAAAGGATAACGGCCTACGACGAAGACTGCCGTCAACACCTAGGTGCTGTTTTAAACCGTCTTCTCCTCAGGTGCGATATATTTTGGTAGGTTACATGACGCTCGGTCAGCAGTTCTCGGGCTCTCGGATAATCCATTCCGACGGTGCGCCGCCAATGACAAAAGACTGACCATGCAGGTTTCCACGGTCACTACTAATCTCTCACGCTTAGCATCGTGAGCTTACGCTTACCGCGACTTTGAATCCCTGACTGGTATACTAGTCCTGTAATGACCAGAGCTCTCCATGACCTCCACAGTTCTTTCCCCGGCATCGTTACATTTCGCGTTTCTCACTAATTATAAGGTCGCGGTCTGTACCTGCGCAGGTGACCCCCGAGGCTGGGACACTCGCGAGACACGTCGGCGAGTTGCCCTGCCTTTGCTTATCATTATGCCCAGCTTAGAACCTGTTCGGCGCCGCGGGTAGGGTAGGGTACACGCCCAACCCGTCGAAAGGTTCTCGCAAGGTTGTAGCCGAGGTCTCGCGTCAACCTCGCTTCGGAAGGTCCGGTAGACCCCAACATAGACCTTGTTTTGGCATTCTGCCCAGAGATGAGTGTGCCATCATTTGAGATGGCAGCGCTGAGATCAGAGTGGCATCTTCTTAAGAATTTGCCAGGGACATCTCATCAAGACCGCCACGATACCAAGTTGCACTTTGGGAATTACACTCTTTTGGGCCTAGCAAAAAAAAGATTGTATGGTAGGGATATATGGAAGAATGGCTTTTGTAAATGATTCTCAGGCTCACAGAAGATAATCTTTATTGAGAATTTCGAAGCTTATACAGTGGCGTGCGAAAGTAATGCACCACCCAAAATAAATGTATATCTCTGCAACCACTTGACCATTCTCTTCGGTTTTAAAAAGTAAACTTTTAGCCCTCCTGGGCAACAATATGGCAGTACTATGGAGTGATGTAGGTGCCCCTATCAGGAGAGAGAGGCTCTACATCAAAGACCCCAATTTTCAACTTTTTACTGAGAGTCCCGATAGACTAGCGGTTATGACCATCTGAAAGAGGCAAAACACTGTGCAGTTTTGATACCAGAATGACCCTGATTGACTACACTGGTGTGGAGATACAGGGCCAGAAAGTAGGGGGTCTAGGTGTAAAACTCAGAAATATTACACCAAAATCCCAACTTTCTGACCTCATATCTCCACAGTGGTGTAGTCAATTTCTATGATTCTAGATTCTAAAATATACAGATTTTCCTGATGATTTTAGCCATGCAATGTATGGAAGTCTGTGGTATCTCTACAAGGAGATAAATTTTGACTACAAATATTGTTTCTGCTGCAGAAAGAGCAGATCGATTCTGATCACCATGATTGTGGTTCTATCTGATAGAGCTTCAAAAATACTACAAACTATGTGTTTACACCAAGAGGAAATACTCTGTCTACATTGAGTTACCAAATACTGGTCGAAAAGTGGTGGTGCATTACTTTCGCATGCCACTGTAATATATATTTTCAGTAGTATTATCTTTGCTGATATGTCATAATTAAATCTTTTATATTCACCTAGACAGCCCTAATTAGGCTAGCTCATCTGTCCCCCGGTCAAGCTTAACAAGGCTCAGGATTGCTTGTTGACTGACACCAGTGGTCGTACCGGGGTTTAGCGCTGCCTTAGTACAACCAATATATACTATGTATTAGTACTGTAATACAGAGTGTTGCTTGTAGCTACCGTGTCGGGCCACGTCGGCGCTTGCCGATCTGCCTAATCAGGCAATCGGAGCGCCTCCCGCCGCCGCCTGAGTCCATTCCATGCTTATGTAATGTAGTCTAGATAAGTAGTTGCGTCGCTGTGCACCTGACCTTCCCAAAGAACGAGGCTTATAAGAGTGGACGATTGAGCAGCGGGTCCACTCTTATAAGACTCAAAAGCCATTTCTCCTAACTCCGGCGGAAGCACCAGGAACACCGTGAGCATTGTAGGATAGCAGAGTAGTAGCCTCCAGGAGACTCCGGCGGTGCCACTGGCTCGAGCAGTAGCATCGCGTGGACCCACGTATGAAAATAGACAGTTGCCTAGAAAGGGCTGATACCACCCGTTGCATCAGTGATGTCACAAGTGCTGCCGTGCCTGACGCTGGTCGTCACTGTCCCCAACGAAGCCAGCGATAGAGAGCATATACTGCCTCAAATAAAATCGATTAAATCACGATAAAATCCTCAAATATACTGTATGGTACTCTTCATATGTCATTCATTACCGCATAGTTCCTGCATCAGTTGTGCACTTGATATCAAGATATATCATGAGGAGACTTCCACAAAAATCGAAATATCAAGTCTTCAGCACAGCGGGCAAGCACCGATGTCCCGCCACCGGACATTCGTCATTCATGAAATAGGTGGGAGAACACTTTCCTTGCATGCTCCAAAGTGGGACTTGGCAGAGACATAAGAATGAGAGAACAATGTCAATCAAATGTCCCCTGATTTTTAGAGACCATAGTAAATGTCCCGCGGACCTGCCTTTGTTCATTCAAAGGACATTCTCCATGTCCAGGTCATGGTCCAACAAAGACCATTTTAGGAAAGTGTTCTCCCAACCGGGGCATGTTCATAGCATGCTCGCCGGCGGGACATCGGTCTCTGCCCACAGTGCAGCTGGTGTTATGATTTTCCCATGCTTATCTCATTCCATTTCCATTCCGAGCATTGCTATTGGACAGTACCTTTCTCTGAGTAGAACTTCCCATGGACGCTATCTTCTTCCCACACGTTATCTCCCTTGACTCACCTTCTACCAATGGGCGCCCTTGTATTTCTCATTTCTCTGAGTTACGTTCTCACAGGACAGCTTACGCGTCCTTTCTTATTGTTCTCTTCTTTGGGTATTAACCCCTATACCAGTTACTATATATACTGTAGGAAAACCCATGTATTCCTTAGTTCAACCTCCTGTTGAATACAGCGATTACCTGGACTCTTGACTTGACCGTTGGCATTGGCCCGGCCAGACCTACCTTTCAGTACGCTTACTGAGGTAGTGACGACATAACTGTTGACACGTGGCCCAGTTATCTCAAGACGACTAGTTAGGACATCGCTTCCTAACATTAGGTTGAACTCTTCTACGACACTTGCCGACTTCTTCAAGCCTAGGCAACCCCTCCTCTACTCTTGATCATCCTCGTTGGACTCCCTAGTGGAATCCCGTCCCTTGAACCAGAACCATGACGAACCCGATTGATCCTACTGCCCAAGCGGCTGGAGCAGGCATTGCTGCACCAGTCATGCAAGCACGACCAACTGAAATCAA